CGAGATGATATTTATGGGATACATCAGCACTGCAAAGAAAATCCCTCCAGAGTTGCTCAAGCTTATGGATGATGGACATGGTCATGCAAAAGAGTGACATCTGAAAGATGGGGATGCTCAAGAGGGTGCCCTTAATTAGGACAATGCTGCCTCCAACTGATAGGCATTGGCATTTCCAGTCTGCTAATTAATGGTCAAACTTTTCAATGATACTGTCCCACTTTTCCTAGGTTTTCCTAAGCACAAGGGGAGGCCCAGATAATTGGAAAGCAGTTGATCATGTCCACACCCAAGCCTCTGTTCTAGAATAATGATCATGTCTTCATTAGTAGTATCTCCAAGGATCTTTATTGCTATTTTTAATGCTTAGGCAGAGGCCAATGCAAAGCCTCTAGGTAGAGCGAGAGGTTATCGACTGATTGGGAGGTGATGTAGCAAAAGACTAGGGTAGAACTTGCATATTGAAGATGGGATATAGACAGGCCATTATGTGAGGTTTTTAATTCTTGAAGGAGAACGTTGGTATATGAATTGGTGATGGAACGACTAGATATTTCTGTTATGCTAGCAAACAAGAAGGGTGGGGACTGTAGGTCTTCTTCTTGAAGACGGTGGGGCACTATGAAGAAGTCATAAGGGGTTCCATTGATCAATATTGAGAAATGGGCTGAGCACACACAGGCAAGAGTCCACATTCTGCATCTTCTGCCACAGACCATCCACTTCAAGACATAATCTGGCGTATTCTAATTAACATGGTCATAAGCTTTCTCAAAATCCAATTTGCATATGATATCGGGGGCTTTAAGACAGTTCAATCCACATATGAGCAATGAACAACAATCTAGGATTTGACAGGCTTTGATAAAGGCATTCTGTGGCAACCAGATAATCTGGATGAGGACCTCTGGGAGTTGGTAGCAAGGACCTTCGCAATCAGCTTGTATGAATTGTTCATAAGGCTGACAGCTTGGAGTCTTTGAGTTCTTCAGCTCCTTCAAGCTTGGGAATCGGAGTGATGAAAGTTGCATTCAAGATTTATGGATGATTTCCCTTTGGTGAAATGCATAGAAAACCTCCATGACGTCTGTGCCAACAGAGTCCCAAAATCAATGAAAATTGCTACTAGGAACCCATCCAGATCGGCAGCTTTAATTTTTCGTAGTTTGGCTATGCATGAACAGATGCCTTTTTGCCTCTCATACAAATGTTGAAGAAATGGCTAAGATCACATGCCTTAGTTCTACTTAGCACAAAAAAGAAACACATACCTTAGGTTTATTTAGCACAAAAAGGAAACACATGCCTTAGGTTCCCTCTGGATCCTCCAAACCTTTCTCCTGGGAAAACAATTTCGTTTTTTGACTATCATCATGGAAGAAAATATTGCTTGTAGAAGTTATATCCTGCAAGTAAAAAATCTCGATGTATTTATCTCAATCTTATATATAAACCTTGAATGCAACTTTCACTCATGTAATTTTGTTGCCTGTTGGTCACTCATGTAATCTTGTCTTTGAAAGTGATTTATGCTTGCTTGTGCTCGACTTAGTTGTGCCTTTTCCATGGAAATAAACAAATGGGTGTTCTTCTGCTTCTCCATTGCAGATTTTGCGCCTTAGTAACAATGGGCTGAAGACCCTCCCCCTAGCACTCTTAAAAAATTGCTCCCATCTTTGTACCCTAGATCTTCATGGCACAGAGATCACAATGGACCATCTTCGAGAGGTGATACTGATAAAATAATCTCCTTTCTTTTTAATCAACACACCTTCTGTTGTTCATTCTCCCAGTGGTGCGCGTGTGGTCATTCTTTTAAGTTGAAGTATACCATCAATTTTTGTATGGTCCGTGGCACCCAAGTAGGAGATCCATTACCCATTCCTTTAAACAGATGCTGGGGACAACCGTAGTTCCTGATGATGGACATTGTCCAGGTATGGTCATTTTCACCATACTTAAGGGAATGGAAGGTGGATACTCCATTGTGTACCACATGCCAAACACCTGAATTATGGTATTACTCTCTTTCCCTTATATAAATAGTATTGTATTTCCAGTTCTTGAACTATATTCTGATGCCAATTTAGCTATATTTGAACAGTTGGAAGGATGGGAGGATTTTGACACACGCCGTCGATACAAGCACCACAAACAACTGGAGTTCAGTGTGATGAGTTCTACAGAGTTTGATGAAGGCGCAGACTCAAATAGGGGTGATAATTGGTAAACCATGAAACTGCAGTTGGGGGAAGGATTACTTAAATGGCAATGGAATCATGAAGTGGGGATACGTCGTCCCCCCCAAATTATGAAATTACTTATGTAGGCATGAGAAGACAAGTGCTTTGGGGAACTCTGTGTACCCCTGTAATTTACTAAAAAATGATTTAAAGTTTGAAAACTGCGTAAATGCTCAATATGCCTTAAAAGCGAGGTATGCAATCTGTAAAAGCTCCTCTAATCTCCCTTCTCTCTTAAGTATTATAGAAACTTTAGTTACCCTACAATTCTCAGAGTTCGCTCATTAATCAATGTTGGCCTTTAGCAAATTTGGAAAGAAACTGCAAAATGAGGGTGAGCACCCAT